TCCAAGGGGTACTTTGAAGGTAACCCGAACGACCAGGGACTGAGTCGCAAGCACATTGTGGAAGGTACGAAGGCCTCGCTCAAGAGACTGCAACTTGACTATGTGGACGTCATCTTCTGCCACCGATCGGAGCCTTACACGCCCATTGAGGAGGCCGTTCGAGCCATGAACTATGTGATCCAGCAAGGTTGGGCCTTCTACTGGGGGACGAGTCAGTGGTCAGCGGCCGACTTCATCGAGGCCTGCGAGATTGCTGATCGTCTGGGACTCATCCGTCCTATCGTCGAGCAACCTGAGTATAACCTGTTGGAACGTAGCAAGGTGGAGCTGGAATACGCACCGTTGTATGACAAATACGGACTCGGACTCACGACGTGGTCACCGTTGTCCTTCGGGATTCTCACGGGTAAATACAGCGCTGTTGCGTCTGGTGCTACTACACGCATGGACGTTGCATGGATAAAGGAGTCCATCCCTGATTTCGACGACCGGGTGGCCAAAGCGGACAGTTTAAAACCTGTAGCTGAGGAATTGGGCTGCTCCATGGCTCAACTGGCCATCGCTTGGTGTCTGTCGAACGAGAACGTGTCGACCGTGATGATCGGTGCTAGTTCGACGGAGCAACTCAAGCAGAACTTGAAGGCTCTGGACGTGGTCGCTAAGATGACGCCGGAGATCAAGAACAAGATCGAAGCGGTGATCCCCATTAACGCCAAGAAGCCTGCAGCGGACTGGCTGTCGAATGTACGTGCGCGCCACTTGTGAGACAGAAGCCTAAAGAGCATAAGGTAGCGAGATACCACGAACCGAACACCGTCCTGCATTTTGGCATAACATGAACGAGATATACACACTTACATCACTGCTTCCTCTTAGCGTAGAGCCCGACGGGTCTTGCGTCTGCTCTTGCCTCTCTTGGACGAGTTGAAGTCGTCTCCACCTGACACGCGGATGATGGCTCGACGGCAGCGGTAGAGTAGGTAGAACAGAGTCCCCATCAGTAGTGCTAGTGCCACGAAGAAGAGAATGAGACCGATTGGGTTTGGTACCAGCTCAAAGAGCGTCAACAGGACGTTAATGAGTGGTCCAGCGAACAGCACGAGCAGTATGAAAAGCGTGCAGAGGAAGAACGAGGCGAAGGCGCGGTAGTACTTGGGTCCCATCAACGCCTCCAGCACATAGCAAGGGTTCCACATAGCCGAGAGATGAAGACGATCAGCAGGTTCAGGCAGGAACGGGAAGTTGTTGGGCTCTCCACGACCTAATCCAGCAGCTCGCACGTCTGCTAAATGCTTCGGTAGGATCTCCACTGACACCAACAACTCACCTGCGCGGATACGGTCGCCTGTGTGCGAGTCACGGGTTGTCATTGTGAGCCAACTGGCGTCTTCGGGGTCTTCTCCCATGCCGAGACGGTGCATGAACGACTTGACCAGTGACTCGGCATTCTCCATGTCGGCATCCACGTCTTCTGATTCGGTTTCTTCGTCGTCATCAATGTCAGCACCTTCCCTAGACAGCAACGGCTTCTTGTCACTTCCTTGTCCTTCCTCGGAGATAGAGATGACTACTTCATCACGAGGCGAACTGAAGCGGGCATCCTCCGTGGCAGAGTATCCTGAGCGACGTGAAGCTCCTTCATATGGCATACTCTCACTACCGCGGATGCGAACTGGCTTCGGTTTGGCGAACACATTGACCGCCTGCTTGGTCTTGAACGCCGTCTTGAGAAACGACGTCAAGTCCACCACTGCATCCGCAAGACAATCATCGTAAACCACGTCGCGATCCCACATCTGGAAGTGCAGATAGCCACGATCTGCCTCCTTCTCGGGATCCAGCGGCAACTCGACGTCAAACTTCATGCGCCAGTTGAAAGACGCACGACCATGTTTCGCTCGCCAGTGGGTATCCGTGCTCTGGGATTTATCATCGCGATTCTGCAGCCAGCACTTCACAAACAGGTCGCTTAGATCCGTGAAGTCTCCAGCCGTGACGTTCTTTGCCTTGTACACGATAACGCGCACTTCGAACACCTGTGGAGGAGGCAGCGAGATATCGAGCGGTCTCACGACGTTCATCTCCGCCCCAGTCAGAATATCAACCCACAGTCGAACACTTCCTTGTGGGAGGGTACTAGAAGGGGCGAACAGCGGACGAACTTCCAAAGGTTTACGACGTTCAGCTCTCTCTGGAGACAACCCGAGCTCTTGCCACTTCGCATCGAACCATCGGTCCTCTAGATCGATGAGTGTAGCACCAACAAAGTCGTCGCCATCCACTGTACTCCCCACTGCAGTACTCAACGCCTTACTTAATCCAGTCGGTAGCGTCGGAATCGCGAAGAAATCGTAGTCGAATAGCTCTAGTTTCAACTCGGATGCACCCGGTAGATCCGCCTTGAACTCGTACATTTTGTGGAACTTGGGAGTCAAAGTCTCTGGCTGGTAATTGTCCCGGTCGTTGAACATTTGTTCGCGACGTCGACCGTCTCCGAGACTCACGCGAAGATACGGATCACAACGGTTGTTCGCGTCCTTCGGGTGCAAATTCAGAGCGTCCAACACGTACACGCGAACGAGATATGGCTGTGGATTGAGGAACTGGTCCAAGTCGAACAGAGGAGGATCATCGCGAGACTTGAGGACACGCACGATGCCTTTGAACTTTCCGACGGGACGGTACGTGTCGGCAGAGTGTTCGTTTGAATTACATCCGTCTTGTGACGACGTGGCGCCACGGAACAGAGCATACGTCTCGAACGGAGACTTGAGTGTGTCTTCCAGTTCCCCCTCGACAATCTCGCGCTGGTGCATGTAGTGTGGCAACTCGTCGTCGTCCTCGTCATAGATACCAAAGCTCCCAGACGAGCACATCCCAGCTATCCCGATCTTTTTCGTCTTGATTTGAGTCTTCCCAGCCGCGGCACTCGGAGATCTTGAGGTCAAAACATCAGAGGGGACTGTCCCCGGGAATGTGGATAGATCGTCTTCATAGTCCACATACGGGTTGTTTCCATGCGCAACGTTCTTGCTGCTCTCTTCAATGTACAGAGGATTCGGTTCTCCATTCGAGAGCGGCATCTTCTTGCCCAAGTCCACGGAGCAGACACCAATCACTGGTTTGTAGAAGCCACCAAGCAATTGATCGTACACTGTGATGTTGAGTCTCGGAGCGAATAGCGAGTCCAGCGGCATCTTCACGGGGACGACAATTCTCTGCAAGAAGTTCGGGTTACGGCTACTCGGCTTGGACGACGGGTTTGTGAACTTTGGCTGGTTCGTTTTAGTGATTTCCCCCACTTCAAACTTCGCAAACGGCGTGTTAATAGGCATAAAGCCTGTGGGTTGCAGTCCACGGCATCCCAGACACATGATCTCGATAAAAGCTTCTTCTGCAGGAGGACGAATCGACTCGGGAGGCTCCACAATAACACCCGGTGTGTCTTTCTTGATGAGATCGAAGGACAAGAGCAACTCGCCTTGAGTATCTCCTGGCTTCTCGTAGTAAATCGGATACCACTTCGGACGAGGCGCTGAGTATTCACCACTGGCACGAATCTTGGAATACTCGGACGACGACATCTGTGGGAAGTCTACCAGACTGAATTTCAGGCCGCCAACATAATCATCTGCATCGTAACGATCCCAATCATACACTTGCAGCGATACTTTGGGTAGAAACCGCTCGTTCTGCGGCAATTCAACGTCTAGGACGACCGTCTCATAGAAGCACGGGTCTCGCGTTGACATACGCGTGCTGACTTGACCCTCGGAGCCGACGCAAGCCACCTTCACGTACGGATCCAAGAGACCGTCGTAGTCGGTTGATGGCAGGCATTTCCCTTGGAAAACATGGATGAAGAGCACGTACTTCATGTACTGCACCGTCGTGCTCGCGTACTTCCGCCACTGCTGCGCTACTTCCTCTTCTTTGCGTCCTTTTTGTTCAGCGTCTTCAAGACGCAAGTTCATCAGTACATTGCCCGTAAAGTCATGGTCTCGGAGTTCATCCAGCACTTTATCCTCGTTCAGTACAACCCAGTGAGGTAGCTCAATGGTTTTTAACGCCTCGGGATCTTGGCAAAACAAATCTTGGGCTTTGAAGCGAGCGAAGCAGATGCAGCGCGACTCGTTCATCGTCTTGCGTACGAGGTGGACGAAAATATCGGGAACTTGGTCGAGATCCGCTGGAAGTTCGACGTCCATGATGTCGATGTACTGGTTAAAGTGGCAAATTCCGGACACATTGTGAGCCCGCGAGCTCTCCACGCAATGACGACCCATCGAAATCTTGAGAGACATCCGCGTGTTTCGGTTCCAGTTGGTTTTGCTCGTGAACACAGGGATTTCAGTTCCGTAAAACAGTGCGGCGCGTAGTGTATACCGCTTCATGCTCGGCGAGATGGACGTGTTCAGCAGGTTTCGTACGTGCGCTTCATCGTTCACTGATTGCAGACCGTCTTCAACACGTAGTGACAGCAACATACGTCCGCGATACGTGCTGGCGTGAGCTGGGTGGTTCTGCATCAATTGGAGCGGAGCGGACACGGTATCATACCCCACTGGAGGACCGTATAAGTTCGCCCAGATGTGCTTGAACTGGTTGGGATAGCGCTGCACTTGTTTGAACGAGAAGGGCTGCAGGATGTTTGCAACGAGCTGGTCGGCTGTAGTCATGTCCCAATCCCACATTGAGATGAAAATGTTGTCGCTCATGGTTGGCAAAAGAACGGGGAACCACAGCTCCTGATTGAACGGGACGGCCAAGTTCTCACTTCCTTTCACTGTCACCTTCTTGGTTTCCAACACGTCCTGGCCAGCGAAGTACGCTCGAACGTAGCCGTCGATTCCTCCATGCATCATCATGCTGTAGTCCATATCGGGCAGTTCTTCAGCTCGATAGATCGTTATCACCAGGAAACTGAGCTTCTGAGTCACACGCGGTGGTACGAGAACCATCGAGTTGATATCTGCCTTCGACTTGACCAAGTGCTCGTCCGGGTCTTTGTCTTCTGCTGGATCGTATAGTTTCATCTTATCTTCAGGACCAAGTACGACTAATGAAAGCCTGTGATACAGAACACAATGTCAGTAAAACTCGGCCAATGAGCTCAAAAACACTAGACATGAACTTACAGGACGTAGCCTTGGATACTGTCGCTGTTGGTTGTCCCGCTACCGACCAGAGCCACCCATTTCCGCTTCAATTCATGGTCTGGCTGGAAGTACACGTACGGAATATCCACCGAGAAGAAGCCGATGAGGTCATCGAGTGCTCGAGATATAGCGGATCGATTCGCTGATGAGCCAGGGCCATCGGCGTCGAATACAGATATCTTGATGCTTCCTTGCTGGACAGTCTCTTTGTCTAGCTTCCTGAAGTTGAAGTAGAGACACTCGTCAAAGACACATGACAGCTGCTTCTGCTTCACCACCGTGTGTTGGCGCTGGCCTAGACACTCAACCGACAAGACCGGATCGCACAGACCATTGGCGTCCATTGGCTTCAAATCGCGCACTTCAATAATCCGCACTCGGATCTGATAATCACCAGACAAAAACTGCACATTGGACAGCTCTGTCAGCATTTTTTGACGCTCTTCTTCTCGCTGCTTACGTTGAGCTTCGGCTTCCTCTCGTCTTGCATCGACATCATCGTCATCTCCATCATTAACGTCTTCGTTCGTGTCTTCACTGGGGTTTCCATCATTCCCACCTTCGTCGTCGACAACATCAGAGCTTCCTGGTCGACGTAAGCCTCGACCACTCGGAACTTCAGTGACGTTATCAATCTCGCCTTGCTCCAAGCTGCTGATCTCCTGGTCGATATACTGCATTTCAATAGCCAGACAGATCTTGCCGTTGCCGTATTTCATCTTGCGTTGTGGACTGATGTCGCTGGGTAAGTCCTTGTCCTTGGATTCCGGTTGCTGCTCCAAAGCGAGCCAGAACGTCTGCTTCTCTCCTTGGAAACGCTTGGTAAACTCCTCCAGATCAATGACACATCGTCCCATAAAGTCGCTCGTGAGTAGATCGCTGTCTTCCATTGTCAATTCCAGCAGCTGCTTCTCCCCAGGAGATATTGCAAAGTAAAATCTCTGTCGCCACGAAGGATGAAGCGTCTGCTGCTGCGTTTTCGTGCGTTGTGACTGGTTCTTGGTGCACGAAACACGTACGTACGGGTCGCTCGTAGCCTCAATGCCCGTGCCATCACAGGCGAGTAACCCCATTGCCTCCAGAATCGTCACCACATAGAAATTCGGAGGTTTTGAAGGCCCCTCTTTCTCCTCTTCCATAATCGAGGTGGTAGGTGTGTCTACTACAGGCTTCTCGTCAGTTTTAGCAGGCACAGCACTGGTCTTAGCAGGCACAGCACTGGTCTTAGGGGAAACTGGAGCAGATAGCTTTTTGGGTGACGCTGGCTTCTTCTGCGGCGTCTCTCCACCTTCTTTCCGTGGTGGTGCCATGAATTTAGGCTCGTATGTTGCCTCCACGGTCAATTCACCGCATTCCTACAGCAACAGTCAGCGTACACTCAATTAGGTACGAATATTGGGCTCCTCACCTTCCCTGCGGCGTCCAGCAGCGTCAACTTGTGCGTCGTCTACAGTAACAACACGGAGTTTTGGTCAGTACATTAACTCTGGTAGCCCGTATCCTTCTATCTTACCTGCGTATCTGGTGTCAGAGTCTCGATCTGTAGCGACGCGCTGCCCAGTAGTACGTCCCGCCCGCGCGCGTTAAGTCCAAAGACCTTGAAGTTGACAGCGTCACCTAGTGGTTTCTTGACGCCGAACGTGAAGTTTTGCGTCCACTCGGGAGTTGTCGTCTTGGCCTTGGCGGCGGTACGCAGCACCACATCGCCGCACTGCGCCTGGCAGTCTGTACTCAGAGTTAGAGAGCTACAGACACAAAACAGAGCTGCTGGAGAGCTACATACAAGGATCGAAGGCCGCGTCACCACCCGCTTGCGCCTCTCCGACGCCCGTGGCGCCCACCACCACGAGCCGAACGCGCGGAGTCTCCACCTCAGCCATTGTAAGTGATCTTCTGCAATGCGGAAAGATCGCTGATTTCCTTTGACCATCACTCCTCTCTTTCGTTGATTGGTCAAATTTGTTCTTGAAGTATTTAGCCAATCAACGTAAAAGAGGAGTGACGGTGAATTTTGATGTGCAAGTGGTGTAGGCGGTCAATAGAACGATGCGTCTGCTGCTTGTGCTCGTGGCGCTGCTGGGAGTCGTCTTCGCCGCGGACCTGAAGCTGCAGCTGGATGCGGATCAGCCAGTCACCGTGACACTAGCGGACGGAACTACGCGGGAGCTGACGGCCGCCGAGTTTGAGACGCTGGCCAAAGAGCGCGCGGAGGAACAGGCCACTCTACAGTCCAACGACGACGCTGAGGCTGTTGAGTGGCAGCGTCAGGAACTGGACGAGATCCAGGCGAAGGATCCACAGTTTGCACTGCTCATCGACTTGGCAAAGCGCGCCTTCCAGGAGATCCAGCGCCACGGGTACGCGCAGGGCTACGCTCTAGCGGGCTTCAGCGAACAGGAGGCGAAGCAGATTTCGACCGACTACTACGCGGAGCTGGTGCTGCGCGCCAAGAAAGACCCAAAAAGCGGCGTGGCTGCCAAGACAGGTACAGGGACTAGGAAACTCGAGAAGGAGGGAGAGGAGACGCCGCTCAGCTACGAGGTGCAGTTGCTACTGGATGCCGAGAGTACGTTGTTGTAGACTGGAGGAATGGCTTGGCTGTTTGACTTACGTGTTGCTGGCCGATAACAGAGCGCTTTTCGGTGGTTGCGGCCTGGGAACTGAGTGAGAAGGAACCTCCGCGAGGACAGAAACGGAAGCGGGTGATGCGGCTGTCCATCCAGCCGACTGCAGCTTTGCTGGAGCGTGAGGCCAAGCGAGACCGTAGTAAGCCTGCAGTGGCGACATGGCTACTGGCCGGAGGAATGGCTATGGTCGCGGCGGGCGTGCTCGTCATGTACAACACGCGTAATCCTATCCCTGCTCCGAAGCCACGACGCCGCTCCAGCGACGTGTGGGAGCTCGTCGATGAGAATGACAAGCCAATCAAAACGGACAAGACCGAGAAGACCAACAAGTCGGACAAGAAGAACGACTAGCGCTGTGCGTAACGCGCACCATGTGGGGGAGAAGTGCAAAGGTTTGAGACGGAGTGTGTCTGTTGTTACAAAATGCAATGCCCGTTAAAGGATCCTGCTGTGTAGCAGCTTGTCACGCTTGGCTAGTCGCTGGCTGCACTGCAACATGCGACCTCACAACGCAATCTAACGAATTTAGCCATTACACTCGCAGTAGACACGGCTGCAGCTCCAATCGCAGGAGCGAGTCTTCAAGGACGAAAGAGAAGACGAAATTTCCGGCATCGAGAACTTCTTCACACCTCGTCGCATGGATCTGGTTTTTACCGTTTGGAAGAGCTCTTGAGTATATCGGGCAGCAGACGTGGAGAATGTGTATGTGTGGAGCTTCTGCCACCGCCTGCCCGGTGGTCAAGTACGTGGCAGGTGCCACCGTCATTTTCGCTTCCAAAACAGCTGCTAGTCTGGCTCTTGCTGATTGGCTGATGCGATTTGCCTCTTTTCTGCCAATAATATGAAATTCTCCACGCCATACTTAGTGCAAGTGTTGCGCTAAATCAGACGCAGTGGGTCGCCCAGCCAGTCAGTCGCAGTATCGATTCCTACCTGGACGTAGTGCGTCACTATGGCGACATTAAGCGTGCTGATCACGGGCTTCGGCGTCGTACGCGATGGCGCACAGCCTGACTGCGTGGTACTTCTGTGTGTGCTCTATTGATTGCGACCTCTCTGGGCGCTCACGGGTCTGTGGTTGTGCAGGTTTTTATGGGCACAGTACAGCAAGGCGGCGGCAGTTCGTGGACGATCTACCGGCCGTTTGAGACCTTCCAGCGGCTCGGCCAGCAGCTCGCCATGATCTTCGGTCAAGCGGTACCTGCCTGTCCGCCGCGCATGTTCGACGTGCGCTTCCCAGACTCGCTGGAGAAGGCGCGAGTTGATCTGAGTATGTGGATGATGCAGCTACTGCAACACCCGCCCATCTACCAGTCGCATGTATTCGTGGACTTTGTCAGCGCCGACGCCAATATGCCTCCTCCAGGCCTGCAGAGTGCGGCTCAGGCAGCAGCACGCAACATCGGAGACCTCGATATGGACGAGATGTTTGGCTCCACTACAGACGACGACCCACGCTCGCACGACGAGCTGCACGACGATGATGTAGGTGCAATTGACTGCGAATACAGTGGGTGTTATTCTAACTGGGTTTTATATATTGCAGATGTTCCAGTTCGACTATAACACGGACATGTCGGGCGCTGGACTGGACCAGCAGACGCTGCTGGAGGAGACGCAGATGCAACACGAGCAACAAGTTCAAGAGCAGAAGAAACGCAGTGAGAAGGTCACACTGGAGGATTTCGTCATGATTAAAGTCATCGGCAAGGGCAGTTTCGGCAAGGTTTTACTAGTCCGTAAGCGTGATACGGGTCTTATCTACGCTATGAAGGTCTTGAGGAAGGAGAACATTATCAAACGTAATCAAGTGGAGCACACACGTACCGAGCGTCACGTTCTGGGCTATGTGCGTCATCCGTTCATCGTGGGACTCAACTACGCCTTCCAGACGTCCGAGAAATTGTACTTTGTTCTCGACTACTGCGCTGGAGGCGAGCTGTTCTTCCACTTGGGCAAAGTACAGCGGTTCCCGGAACACCGTGCTCGCTTCTACGCTGCCGAGATCACGCTGGCGATTGAATACGTGCACAATTTGGACGTCATCTACCGCGATTTGAAGCCGGAGAACGTCTTGCTGGACGAGAACGGACACATCCGTCTCACGGACTTCGGACTGTCCAAGGAAGGCATCCAGGACGATTTCTCGGGCGCCAATTCCTTCTGTGGCACGCCCGAATACCTCGCACCCGAGATTTTAAACCGCTCAGGCCACGGTCGAGCTGTGGACTGGTGGTCTCTGGGAGCTTTACTGTACGAGATGCTCACGGGTCTGCCACCGTTCTACTGCCGCGACCGTGACCGTCTGTTCGAGAAGATTCGTAAGGGCGATCTCAGCTTCCCAAAGTATCTATCGCCCAACGCCAAGGACCTGCTCAAGAGGCTACTGGAACGCGACCCGACTCGACGTCTGGGAACGGGCCCGACGGACGCCGGAGAGATCAAGAACCACCCGTTTTTCGCAGAGATCAAGTGGGACGCGCTGGCTACAGGCCAATTGCCGCCTCCATGGCGTCCGACGTTCTCGGGTGCACTTGACACGTCCCAGTTCGACCGCGAGTTCACGGATATGCCCGTGGTGAGCCCGGATAACAATGTGCGCGGCATGGCGATGGCTATGGGACGACGACCGGCCAATGGCGACGCGTACGGCAGCAGTCTCACAGGCAACGACCCGTTCAAGGGCTTCACGTACACTGAGGATTCGTATCTACAGGACGGACTACCAGGTCGCAGTCCAGCGCGAGGTAGTGGGCGTGTGCGGCACCACAACATGTAGCCATGTTGGAAGACTGAAAAAGATGAAGCGGGAGTCTATAACAGAGGCGAAGGGGTATTTCCAGTCGGGTAACAAGACATTGAGACACCCTCAAGACACTGTAGGGGACAGGAAAAACACAAAAGGGTATGTACATATATTCGCTGAAACTTCCGGTGCTAACGTGAATTTAGAGAAAAGGTTTTGAGCACTGAGGCAGGCTCCAAGCTTGGCCCACTCACTTGATCGTCTCGATATGTTTTAGGACTGCAAAGAGCCGTTGATAGAGTTCCGGTGAGTCACTATCAAAGCTTGTTCCAGCCATGTGGTTCTTCTGGACGTGATGGACATTCCAGACTCCGTGTTGCAGCTTCGGATCACTTGGATTGAGCTCATCTGGATGCAAATCCACAGCTTTTCTCTTGGTAGTTGAAGCTGTCGTGACGTCTTCAAGTGAGACGGATGAAGATGTGGACGCTGTCGAGTCACTGTCGCTCTCGGATGAATCCGAAGCCCACGGTCGCAGCATCGAGTGGAGATTTACAGCACCGTCATTGTCACCCCAGAGTTCTCGATCAAAGCCGTTAAAGATCAAGTGAAGTGTACGAACATGTCGTCGCATGACTAGCAGGAGCATGTAAAGAGAAGGAATCGACGCGTAGTCCAGAGCTCGAACTCGACGATAAAGAACTGGGATCAATACGCACAACGCCAGTGTCGACAGTACCGTGTCTCCTAATGTGAAGATGAAGACGAGAACTATCAGAGCAATCTCGACTATTGGCAGTGTAACGTGGCTGGAAGTCGCCACTGCAACGAGGAAGATCTTGTCCATGTGGATCAGTCGAGCATTGCGTTTTCTACGCTCTCGAGGCAGTAGGTTGAACACCGCGAGGTCCGTGGAGCCGTTGATGCGGCCGTAGGGCGACAGGATCTCGCGGAAGGTGTTGACGCACTGCCATTGTGGCATTTTGAAGTCAAACACTTGACGAAGTATGGGCCAGTCGGTGTGCAGCTTGAACCAAACACCCAACGCAGCGCCGATAAAGTGACCGAGAGAATATGGTATCATTTGCAAGTCATGCAGTCCGAAGAGATGTGTTATTGTCGAGCCTGTGAGCGGCCCAGCGATGGAGATTAAGCTCACTACCCAACGATGGTCACTGCCGATGTTGAAGAAGTCGGCGCTTATTAACTGGTATAATTCCAGTGCAGTGGTGGCCCCGAAGCTGTGGCCTATTAAGTGGACGGGGTTGGCTGCACTCCAGTTGGGATGCAATGGGTTCTTGTACGTACCTCCGAATCGGTTGTGTCCAGCTTGAAGACTGTGGGCTTCTCCGTAGTCAACTCGACCTCCGTACAACTGGTAGAAGGCTTCACAAGCTCGATCGTGGTCGGAGGATAAGGCTCCGACATCGACCATGAGATGGTTCTGGTTCATTTTGTTTAGTGCTTGCTCCGGCCAATACGGAGACCATGAATTCCATAGTGGACGCGTTTTGCCATACCCGAAGACGCCGTGGATCAACACTACAGGACATTTCGTGGTGGTCGATGACATTTGGTATTGCTTGATGCTAGAAGGACGGCGAAAGATTGAGAATGACCTGGAAAGCGGTCGGCCACTACTGTAGCAGGAATGTTTGCATTGTCGGATCCGATTAGAGTCCGTCCGAATCCCATAGAATTCGATTACACGGTAAAGATAGGCTAGATATGGCTGCCTTGCCAGTACACAGATATCTGAGTGGAGTGTTGTGCACTAACTCTTTTTTACTAAGCATTTTTTTTAGTATCTACCGTACTTCGTCTACTCACTATGAAGACTATCTTGGCTTTGGTTTCGACTGAAGACCCATAGTGTTCTTGTTTTCTGATGGTAAGCCTGATATTCACTGTGAACAGACAAATTCTTTTGTTCTGAATCGGCATCGCTGTGCTCAATTCGTGTGAAGAGATCTCTGTATAACTCACGAGCATCGTCGTCCCAATACGTTCCGGCAAAGTGATTAGCTCGAACACTCCACGAGTACCAGCGACCCTTTTCCAGTCGAGTTGGCGGTTGCTTGACAGTTTTCTTCAAGTTTGGATGCCACGGTTCTCGCATCGAATGTGTATTGACACAATCATCGTTCAGTATCCAATCGTGAGAATCACAACCAGGAACTACAGGCGGCAGAGCTCTAGCGTGACGGTGGTTAATCCACTTAAAAACATCCAAAATCGGCATCACTGCATTCATCCGTCTCACTTTGTGCAGCAAGTAAACAGCCGACAAGACCCGCACAAACTGAATTTTTGTGAAAAAATCTCGCCACGCTCGAAATTCTCCATGACGACAAATTAACATTACCAATAGAGACAACACCATGCCATCTCGAATAGGAGAAGCTTTAATCTTGGACGAGGACACAATAGTCAGTAAGTGTAGCTTGTCCAAGTACTCGAGTCGAGCGTTGCGTTTGATCGTGATGGTATAATATCGTGCACTCCCAAGTCCTTGGACTCGTTCACCGGTCCATTCACAACCAACATATCCATCATCGATACGTTACTCCATTGATCCCAGTGCACGTCACAAGCTGGTTTGAGTACTGGAAAAGCTTGATAAAGCTTGAACCACAGCACAAAGGCGACGTACACAAGATAAATCGGACTTCCTCGACGCATTTAACCGTTAACAACACCGACCATATGCGCCATTGTGGCCCCTGTAAGTGTCCAGCAATTGATACGATACTTTTTACCCACCGATAGTCACTGCCCACCTTGAAGTAATCATCACATAGCAACTGGTACAACACAAGAGCTGCCTACCAACTGAATCGGATTGGATTCATTCCAACGCGAATGTAACGACGTATTATACGTGTCTCCAAAACGTTCATGTCCAGTTTCTCGACTGTGTTGCTCACCGTAGTCAACTTGGCCACTATAGAGCTGGTAGAAAGCTTCACATGCTCGGTCGTGGTTGGAAGTCAGCGGTCCAACAAGTAGCACAATGTGGTTCTCGTTGAGTTCGTTTAGAACCTTCTCAGGCCAATACGACGCCCAACGGTTCCACATCGAACGCATCTTGCCAAAGCCAAATATGCCGTGAATGAACACGACAGGGAACTTTGTAGTAGTCGAGCGGGGCGTCATGGCAAATTATCAAGTGATAAAATGTTGTTGGGGAGGTCAACTACTGTCGGCGCTGTCCCATGATGTCGGATTTTTCAACATGTTGAAAATTAAATATTTTCATGTACAACATGAAAAGTGTCAAGATGTGGTAATTTCAACATGGAAAAATGATGTTGTATTATGCAACATGTAATATGCTGTAATTATGTTATCAGCTGTAGAACGGAGCAGTGGTGTGGCGGTTTGTTTGATGGCATACGCCACTGGTTTTGGAGTCCTCTCGTTCGTACTCCTTGCTCATCAACGTGAATAAACTCTTGTACAGATCGGCTGCGTTGCTGTCCCAGTATGTTCCAGCGAGGTGGTTGCTGTCCACACGGTATACATACCATCGTCCCTTTTCAAAGCGTTTGGCTCCGTGAGTCTGCTGTTCGTCGTCCGTATCTCGATTGAAGCCATCGATGGAGATGTGAGACTCGCAACGTGCCAACGCCGTGTCTTTCAACGACGAAGAAGACGACGTCGCTGGAAGAGAAGGAGCAGGCGGAGTCAAGTCGTTGCTGCTGAGCGCTCTCTCCATCTCTTGAGGCTTAGGAAACCACGGTCTTAACATGGAGCGGATGTTCACGACGCCGTCGTTGTGCTCCCAACTGCCTGCTTCAAAGCCGTCGAAGATCATCGGGAGACTGCGAGCACGACGTCGAATGAGCCACTTGAGGCCGTACATGGACGGCATCTTGGACACGTCGAGTTTCTTGAGTTTAAACCACAAGTAGCACACGACCAAGAAACTAGCAAAGGCTCGAAACCCGCGACGTCGAGCCAATCCAGGCCACCACTTTGGAAATTTATTCCAACGCAGTAGTACCAACACGGCAAGCGCCATACCTTCACCGAATGGACGATACACCGTCTTAGGTGACGTGGTGATACTCAGTAAATGCAGCTTGTCCATGTTCTGCAGTTGAGCGTTGCGTGAGATGCGATACTCTGGTATCGTGCCATGCACCACGAGATCTCCCGACGAGGTGACGGGTCCATTGGCAACCAGAAGGTCTTTAAGTGAGTATTTGTTCCATTGGTCCATGCGGAGATCCGCTGCGTTCTTGAGGATCGGGAACTTCCAGTACAACTGGATCCACGCGCCAAACACGATGGACATCAAGTGAACGATCCCCCCAGGCACCACTCTACTGGTCTCCATACCGATCATATGGGTCAAGGTTGAGCCTGTCAAAGGCCCAGCGATGCATGTGATACTAGCAATCCACTTGTGCGAACTGCCGACTTGAAAGAAATCCGTACTTAGCAACTGGAACAGCTCGATGGCCGTGGTGGACCCGAAACTGTGACCCAGTAAGTGTACGGGGTTGTCTTCGCTCCAATTGGGGTGTAGGGGATTGTCGAACATCTCTCCATAGCGATCGTGGCCTAAAAAATAAATAATTGTCAGTTTCTAATGCAAATTTCGAGCTTTTCAACCACGTACCTGTGTCATTTGAGTGTTGTTCTCCGTAGTCCACTCGGCCCCCGACCAATTGGTAAAAAACTTCACAGGCGCGATCGTGGTCTGAGGATACGCTGCCTACGTCTACGAGCAAATGGTTGGGATTGATACGATTGAGCTCCCGCTCGGGCCAGTACGGAACCCAGTGACCCCACAACGGCCGCTGCTTTCCGAAGCCGAACACACCTGTATACAACACAAGATAAAGGTTTAAAGACTGTACCAATGTATTAGATGGAGTTATCGCGATCTTGCCGTGGATGAGGACGACGGGGAACTTGGTGCGGGCGCTCATTCGGGCTGTGGAGTGAGGCGTCGGGCGACCCAACGCGAACGGCGAATTTTCACTTCAACGTGCAAGTCCGACGTGATGCCCAATCACCGTCGAGAACTGAAATCTCTACTTCTCCAAAAATAAATGAAAAATATACTTTGATTAATTAGAAAAAAAATCTAATGAAGAGCACTTCTGGCATGCTACTCAAATAATGACGTTCGGTGCTTGAGTATACTCCGTTGCTGGGGTTTGGCACGAAGGTTCGCCGTGAATAGGCGTATCTTGCGACTTGTGATAAGAGAACTTGTACCCATCCGGAATCTCCACCTTGTGATACTTCTTCTTGATGGCAGGGAGAATCAACGTTAACGCAAAGAGAAGTGCATAATTAAAAATCTCATCTTGGTCCTTGAATACTGCCTCCTGAACAACCAATCCTTCAACGAGTCCAACTCCGAGTCCCGCCCAAATGACGTACGCTTCGTATTCGCTTGAATCTTTTCCATACTTGCGGGCCAGACAAGTAGCAATGACGAAACTTGCCATAAGAGCGGTTACTAGAAAGTAAAAGTGCTCGATCTCGAAGAACTGCGCTGCGATCATCTGTGCCGAAGTAAAATCTGCAAAGTTTTTGATCCACACTCTCGCACCTTTTTTTGTCGTTTGGATTAGCGTGGCTTGAGAGAATTCAATCACGGCGCTAAGGAACTCGCAGGTGAACAAACACATTCCGACTTCGAGTTCCTCATTAGTTTTTAGTTTCATCATTCTCGCTCTGTAGGCAATGATAGGCGAGATAACCATGACCGAAATTTTGACAACTTGGCTCAACCCGAGCATATAGGCACGGCGCCCCATTTCTTTGATACAATTTTTGGAATGCCAGCAACACATGACGATCTTCACCGTCACCGTGAAACTCAACGCAATGGTGAGTGCATACCAATTAAAAAACGAGTCCAATGAAGAATCAGACTCGTAGCCGTCCGAAGACCCCACTCGCTGGCCGTTTATTTGCATTGATTCAATCTGGAAGATAGCCACCGCAACCATGCCCGCTGACCAGGCACTCAGCCAAATGAGAGCAAACTCGAGAGCGCGAAACCCACAGCACATGATTGAGACGAAGCGTGTTTCACCAACAGATGAACGATGTGGTTTGGTTGGAGACGGCGGATTGAAAAGTGAGGTTCGTGAACCTCCAGCTGAGATAACGCAAACAGCTCCAGACTCACTTGTAGTTACAAGTCTATCATTCATGTGGAATGCAGTGCCTAACCAACAAAGGACAGGCGACAACGTAACCAGCACAACCTAGTTGGGCAAGCACAGTTTCCAATCCATTGGTGGACCCTAGTGGAGACACAAGAAAACAGAAGTTACCAACTTCAGTTCAGAGATTTGCGGAAGGCTTACGTTTGCACCCGTGTGTTAATTATTTTAATGATTTAAAATATCATCTGCGTAGGGTTGTTTGCGGAAGAAACGAGTTAACTACGTCCAGCCATTTGAACCCTTTTGAATCCTAAACTGCTGGACTTCTTGATAATCCTAAACTCCAAGGCAAACAAGTTTAGGGAAATGAGATGGATAGATTCAAACCGGTTCAATCGGCTACAGGAATCGCTCCAGTACTAGTGATTCCTTTTTCTTCTTCTTATAAGCGTTCCAAAAACACGTAACCTGGATCAGAATGGACGCTGCTGCTCGGTCCTCACGTATCCGGACATTGAGATGCTGAAGCCAAAGAGACACAGCATGCAATCGAAGTTTGGAATTTTCCTAGGTGGAATAAGAAAATATTGATCGCTCTTCACGTCAACGCTGTCGAAAACGTCTTCGATGTGCTTCACAATGTCGATATAGAATGGAGAAATGGTATCCATTGGCTGAAGTCAACATGACTCATGGGTCCTGACAATTACTAAGATTCACTTTTCCGTAGTAATGAGTCGTTGATACCATCGCAAGATAGCTTTTCATGCCGATCTCGTGCTTTCCTGTACCAACACGCTGTAACCCGCTTCCGTATTAAGCTAAAGAATTGCGCTGCAATCCTGATAACCTTTCCAGTGCGCTATCTGCTTTCGAAAAGCAATTCTAAAAAATGAAGAAGCCAGACTAATCTATCTCGCTCGTGGCACCACGTCGTCGTAATTTACGATGACTCGTAATATATATCGGCATCTGATGCAGTTTGAAAAATACAGGGAAGAATTTCACTGCTTCATTATCAGCATCCACTCCCTCGGTATAAACACTGGTGGGATCTCCTGTCTCAAATTAAGCGCGTATTAATGAAAAAACCACCTGTTTCAAACGTGACAAGTCATTGAAACAAGGTTATCCGCCCCAAAACCCACAACGGAAAACTACCAGTTACAATTTACACTACCTGTAGCAACATGTTGCTGCCACGTTGCTATTGTAATGCAAGCACCATCATTACATGCCGTCGAGTCGCGACTATTGAACACCTGCTGGCATGCATGGTACGGTTGTTTTCGCGTGCCGTGTGACTCCTTGGATTATCCAAATTGGATATCCACCTTCGTCCTCTTTTTTGTCTGCCAATCACAGTCCTCTAAAGTGGATTATCAACCAATAGTATGCCTTCCAACTCGTACTTAGCCGAGTTTTGACCCGTTACCGTGCCATTATCATGTTCATTCCCTTCTCTACCAAGGGCCAGTCGAGAACTGACCGCCATGGACACTCCAATGCACGCGATTAACGAGTCCAGCCTCCTCCTGGGCAACGCCACGGGCGACGCACAGGTGCTGGGGCTGCCTCTTAACTGGGTGGAGACCCACCGCGCTTCCAGTCTGCTCATCGCCTTCGCCTGCTGTGTAATGGCGACTCTTCTGAGTGTCTACAACATTGTGCAGCACTTGGCGCACTACTCACGGCCGCAGCTACAGCGCTACATTGTGCGCATTTTGGTGATCGTACCAGTCTACGCGATGGGTTCTCTGCTGTCGCTCATGTTCGTGAACCAGGCGCTGTACTTCGACTCAATCCGCGACTGCTACGAGGCCTTTGTGGTGTATTCCTTCTTGGCGCTCGTGCTGAGCTTCGCAGGCGGAGAGTCCGTCTGTGTCTTGAAGATGCAGAGCGAGCCCGATATCCGCCACCCGTGGCCTATTAACCGCTGCTTTGACCCGCTTGGACGCGACGGTAGACTCCTGAGACTGTGCAAGCGCGCCACAATCCAGTTCGTCTTCATCAAGCCCATCTTCGCAGCGCTGTCGCTGCTCATGTTGGCGTGTGGCAAGTACCACACACTGGCCTACCAATTGATTCTCGCCGTGGTGTACAACATCTCGTATTCTCTCGCTCTCTATGGCTTGTACATCTTCTACCTCGCCACGAGACACATCCTGCAGCCATTTAACCCCGTGCTCAAGTTCTTTGCCGTCAAGAGCGTCGTGTTCCTCACCTTCTGGCAGAACAGTCTACTGGATTTCATCCCAGGCATCACGAACGAACAGACTTTCGCCTGGAAGGACTTTATCCTGTGCGTCGAGATGGTATTCTTCGCCTTCGTCCACTTACTGGCCTTCAACTCGAATCAATTCAAGAAAAATCTGGACCGACTACCGGATTCCGAAGTGCTGAATAACATGAAGGAGGTGCTGAGCCTCTCGGATATTCTAGCAGACGCCTACCACAACTTCATGCCGTCCTACAAAGACTACATGTTGCAGCGAGGAGGCGAGTCCACTGGCCGTGCTCGCAAAGGCCACAGCTCAACCGGCTTTGGAGACGCTTCGTCGTCTGAAGGCAGTCCGACGCCGATGGCGCATAACAACGCGCGTGTACCGCGTTTTGTCATTGATGACGAAGACGACGACGAGATGGAGGTGATCGATCTCGAGTCGAACGCCAGTACCGTAACAACATCGGCTGAATTATCTACCAAGGATAAACTACCGGAGCTTAGGTTGCCGGAGAGGAAGGAGGCAGACAGCAGCGAGACTGGAGCGGACGTTATTATGGCTAACCCACAAGATGATGACCAAGCTAAGGCTGTTGAAGACGCTGCCCTCGAGGAAGGTGTCAGTAACCAGCGACCAGCAGATGATGCCGCACCGGTAGAGACGCCGACGCGGCAACGATCCAATAGCTCCCCAACTGCTGCTAGTGCTCATGAACGCACGCGACACAGCGAGGAGAGCGCAACTCTATAGACAATTAAACTTCTAGCTAGTATTATCGTATCGTACGTATTGTATTGACACCGCCCAATACAAAAAAAAGAATTGTGAGTACATTCCTCTGCATGGCGTTGAATCAGATGCTTTTTATCATCAAGCACGACCGCCGAGAAAGAAGGCCACTACGCAAGCGACTAGAGAAATGCTAGTTGCAATGCATAAATACGCTTAGAGTCGAGCAACAGCAGCAACGTGCTGTGAGCCGTTTGCCCAGCGGCTTCAACAACTGCAAGTTGCAATGAAGCTGCTCGAAGTCAACACCCGCGCATGATCCCACTGGAATTGGAAACTCCAGTAAACCAATCGGATTAGCAGACTAGAATTCGATGAACCAATCACATCGTGTCCCTCGAATTTGAAACTTGATCCTTGACGTCGCCGACGTAAGCTGCCGTTTTTCTGCGTGCGTCATCTGCACGATAGGACGGATACCGGCGGTCTGAGCATCGCCGGCGTCGCGCTTCTCTCATTCTCGCTTTTACCACCGCACGCACACCCACTTCAATCACCCTCTCCGCCTCCAAGCAGCAATGGGCACCGACATCCATAAGATCCACGTCGCTAACCCCGTCGTCGAACTCGACGGCGACGAGATGACGCGCATCATCTGGAAGGACATCCGCGAGAAGCTCATCCTGCCTTTCGTAGACCTCCAGATCGAGTACTACGACCTGGGACTCGAGCACCGTGACGCCACTAACGACGAAGTGACGCTCGAAGCTGCGCGTGCCATCAAGAAACACAACGTGGGCATTAAGTGCGCCACCATCACGCCCGACGAGGCGCGCGTCGAGGAATTCGGGCTCAAGAAGATGTGGCTCAGTCCCAACGGCACTCTGCGCAATGAACTGGGCGGCACGGTCTTCCGCGAGCCCATCGTGTGCAAGAATATCCCTAAGCTTGTGCCTGGTTGGAAGGAACCTATCATCATCGGTCGTCACGCCTTTGGAGACCAGTACAAAGCCATCGACTTCGTGGCCAATGAGCCTGGTACGTTCAAACTCACGTTCACACCCGCACGCAGCGGCGCTGAGCCCGAGGAATATCACGTATACGATTTTAAAGGCTCCGACGGCGGCGTGGGCATGGGTATGTACAATACTGCCGAGTCCATTACGGGCTTTGCCAAGTCGTGCTTCGAGTATGCGCTGGAGCGCAAGATGCCGCTGTATATGAGCACCAAAAACACAATCCTTAAACGCTACGATGGCCGCTTCAAGGACATTTTCCAGGCCATGTATGAGAAGTCGTACGAGGCGCAGTTTAAGGCCGCAGGGATCTGGTACGAGCACCGCCTGATCGACGATATGGTGGCGCAGTGCCTTAAGTCCAAGGGCGGCTTCGTCTGGGCTTGCAAGAACTATGACGGTGACGTGCAGTCCGATATCTTGGCGCAGGGCTTTGGTTCGCTTGGGCTTATGACCAGTGTGTTGCTCACTCCCGACGGCAAGACGCTGGAGGCGGAGGCCGCACACGGCACAGTTACGCGCCACTACCGCGTACACCAGAAAGGAGGCGAGACGAGCACTAACTCCATCGCCAGTATCTTCGCGTGGACGCGAGGGCTGCTGCATCGCGCCAAGCTGGACAACAATGATCAGCTCAAGCTCTTCTGCCAGGAGCTGGAGGCCTGCATCATCGAGAGCGTGGAAGCCGGCCAGATGACCAAGGACCTGGCGCTGCTCATCCACGGCGACGACATGAAGCGCGAGCACTATCTCGACACGTTCCAGTTCATCGACACCATCGCCAATAACCTACGCGCACGTCTGGCCGTCAACCCCCGCTTCCAAGGTTAAGCTTTAGCATACCGTAAATAATCAATTGAATGCCACTTCAACAATCACAATAGTGAAACGCAATGTTTACGTTCAGCCGAGCCAACATGGGTACACAGTCAAAGTGTCACTATTGAGAGGTGCCACTATTTCGAGGACTTCCAGTTTCTCCTGATCCATTCTGGCAAAACAGGGCGAGGAAGAATGAGTGCGCGACGCTCGCTCAGTGACGCCAGTGCGAGCGACAGCGGCCGCGACGACGACGAGTTCCTCGACGCAGCCTTCGACGAGTTCGAGGAGCAGGATGCGCGCGGCTTCTTTGAGTCCTCCGCGTCCTCTACGTCTCCTCCGTCTCGTCGAAGCGCTAGTAGTCGTAGATCCAACGCCGCGCGCATGTTGGAGGCTCTTGAGGCGCTTTCCCACGAAGCGGAGGGCGAGGGTGTCCCTCAGTCGCTTCGAGGGTTATTGGAACAGCTACACAGCGGCGACAGCTCCGTGTTGGGCGGTATGTTCCCATTTTCTCAGTTACTTCAGGGCTCAGGCGGTAACCCGCGCTTCCAGCGTCTACTGGAGCAGATCGGAGCGGATCAACCGGCCCACACACAGATGGCAGCGTTGTCCGAGCTGTGTGAGACGCTGTCGCTGTCTACAGAGGAAGCTCTGGCGGTCTCAGGTTTCAATGTGGACAAGTTCGTCCCGGCCGTCGTGGCGCTTCTGCGCACTCCTACGTCCATGGAGCTGCTGCTACTGGCAGCCAGAGCACTCTCCACGATATTGGAGCTGTACCCAAGCTCTGCTATCCCCAGAGCGACAGCTGAACATGTGATCCCGTCGCTGTGTGAGAAGCTGCTGGAGATCGAATACATGGACGTGGCTGAGTTGGCCTTGCAGATTCTAGAAAAGATTGTGTGTAAATCTGAGCAGGCACTCAGTTCCACAGCCACAGTGTCCAATGCAGCGCAATTGTGCGCTCAATACAGAACGGAATTGATCCAGGAGAACGGGATCGTCGCGCTGCTGCAGTTTGTGGACTTTTTCCCGCTGGAAATCCAACGTCGCGCGGCTCGTATTGTGTGCCAGTTGTGTACAGACTTCCCTTTGTCCATGGAAGACAAACTACGCCAAGGACTGCCGTATATCACCAACTTGGTGCGATCATTCGACCACGAGATCTTAGAGAGCAGCTTTGCGTGCCTGCAGAAGCTCGGGGAAAGCACAGCGTTCGCTGACAACTCGGAATTCGCGTCCATGATCGCTACAGAGGAGATTTGCGGTCTGTTACTGACCAAACTCACGTCTTACGCCAGTCTGGATGGCTCCAGCAGCTCCTCGTCTCAATTATCCCCCACAGGCATCCTGCGCTTCCTCTCCTGTTTGCTGTCGTGTGTTCCAAGTGATCTGAGTGGAGTGACAGTCATCCCCAGTGCGTCACACCTGCGTTTTGTCAAGTTGCCGCCTATTGTGACGGCGTTATTGGCCAAGCAAGAAGTGATTTCCGATAACCAGCTAATTCGGGAGACTTTGAAGCTGGTGATCGCTGTTCTCCCCATTGCAGAGGAGCTCTCGTCCACCGAGACCATCCCACGCCCCATGCTCACGCTCGCGCACGAGATTTTGCCATTGATCATTCGAGTGTACGACGTGACGTCGCGTGCTGATGTCCGGTACGACTGTCTCGGTGTGATTTACCGTAGCTGCTCGTTGATGCATGCGAACGAGCAGCTTTTCACAGCCCAAGAACGAACCGAGTTATCTCGCCTTGCTGCTTTCCTGGCTCGAGTGCTGCGTCCCAATCGCAGCGACACCAAGAGCGACAAAGATCTGGCTCTAGTGGAGATTGCGTTGAGGATTATTGAGGTCCCGCTGCTGCATTCCGGTGCACGGGAGGCAGCCAAGGACATTTTTGAGCGACACGGCGTCGCTAGTATCATTCGCTTCTACGTTACTAGTGCCAAGGAAAATACAAGTGAAGGAGATATGCTGGAGATCCAGACGACGTCAGCTCGACTTGTTCGAGAATATCTAGGAGATGACAGCTCGATTGTCAGCATTATGACGCAGTTGGAGCAACTTGTGGAGCAGCTGCAAACAGCGCAAGCGTCCAATTCGGCCGATACTTCACTGTTTGATGTTCTATTGAAGCTCCGTGATTTTGTCGCTCAAGGAGAGGACTTCCTGACTGCCCATGAGATCGCTTGCAGTGGACTAGTGAAGGTTCTCATCCAGATTCTGTCAGATACTCGAGGCCAGCAAGCCTTTTCTCAAATGCTGGACGTGGAAGATGGCAGTGATGGGCGGGGGGTTGTGACGTCGCTCTTGCGGTGTTTGCAAGATTCGATTTCGTCGGAGAAAGATGCGTTCTCTGTTTCTACCACCGACGGATCGTCTGGCCTTTCATCTGGCAGCGTCGCGATTGATCTGGATCAGCTCACGCAACATATTAAAGTTCACGTGTTGATTGAGGAGACAAAGCCAGCAGCGGAGCCTGATAATGAAGACCAGAGTACCCAGACAGACTCTCGTGATACATCGGAGGAGTCTCCTCTCCGTGGGATGAAGACAACTTCGAAGCGGAATGGGAGAAACCACAAGGCCAACAACCGTACTGTACACGATACCGTTGTGTTGGTGGAGCCTCTTGCTCGAATCGAGACGATGGAGGACTTTATCGCCGACAAGTTGTTTGGTAGAGGAGGGAGCGCTGAGTCTATTCTCGACGAGTTGGCAGATACAGGAGAAGAGAATGAAAGCGGAGAGATTGACGAGAGTGGAGAGTTTGCCAATGATGTCGTGAAGCCCCGACGAGTGGTAGCGGTCTATAGAGGACAGGTTCTCCCGACAGATATGAGTATCTTGGAAGCGATCGTGAAGTTTGGAGGCGTAGAGACGAATAACAAGACGAACGAACGCTCTGAACCTGCAACGTCGTCTCGCTCTCGCATTTGGACTGCATCACCTCACGATATCACCTTCCGAGTCGCAGCCTCCTCGGATTCCAGCGTGTCTGAAGACGCTGTCAGCTCTGAGTCCAATGCTGACGACTCCAAGGTCGCTGTGGCTGTTCCTTCTGACTCCGAGACCGGCCAGTGGTGGGATGATGTGTGGGACTTGTTGCTATTACTGAAGCTGGTGCGAACGCAGTGCACTGGGAAGTTTGGAACGTCTCTCAATTTTGTCAACAGTTATCTGAGTCTCCAAGTGCGTCGCGCGTTGCAGCAGCCTGTGCGTGTGGTGACAAATTCCCTTCCGGAGTGGTGTTTCCGTCTTGTCAATGAGTTTGCGTTTGTGCTGGAGTTCGAGACGCGCTGTCATTTCATGTACGCGACGACGTGTGGATGTTCCAGAGCGATTCAGTATTTGTGTCGATCAGTGTGGAGGAAAGCCGTGATGGAGGAACCCGCAGCGCAGCAGACACGACCAAGCACTTCCAGTAGACGTCGGTATCGTGATGGATCGAGTCGTACTCGGACGTCTGGCTTGGATAATATCGCTCAGATGGTGAAGCTTCCTCGACTGAAGGTGCGAGTGGCACGTTCGCGTTTGTTGCAGTCGGCGATGAAGCTCGTGGCGATTTATGGCGGCAAGAAGGCAGTGATCGAGATTGAGTTCTTAGGGGAGGTTGGCACGGGCTTAGGACCCACTACGGAGTTCTTTACACTCGTGTGTCAGCAGATACAGTCCAAGCGGCTGCAGTTGTGGAGAGATGACGATCGAACTCCAGTGGATGAAGAGCAGAAGCGAGAGGCTGTTGACGACGATGAGGCCAAGACACAAGCCAATAGCTCCCTTGCCATTCGAGGATACCATCGTGTTGCAGTGTATCACTGCAGTAAGTGCAAGGCTCTTCATATCCCCACGTGCTCGGTGCATCGACAGCTCCTGACACACGAGAAGAAAGCAGACAAGGCAGCAAGTGACGGTGACGTTAAGCAAGCTAAAGCCAAGAGCTCAGAACGGCGACAGACGGCTAGAAACTCCATTCCACAGTGCGCACAGTGTCTTGATGACCACGACTGGCACTCCGCTGCTGTGTCCTGTGATTGCAGTGAAGAAAGCTACGGTAAAGCCAATGGATGTACGCTCAAGTGGTGGATCTTGAGTGACGAAGAGGCTCAGTATCTGGCCAAGGTCTTCCCTCGACACAGTAAGAAGGTCAACCATCCAGTGCTGCAGTGTGCACACTGCGATACCGTCAATTTCCCCGGTACAGATGCTGGTATTGTGGTGATGGATGGAGAGCGCATGGTCTCACGCTCAGGTCGACGCATGTTTGAGCGAGACTATCGTGCCGTGACCAAGCACGTGTCGCCGTTGTGTGAGGGAACGCCGTTGAATGTCATGACGTCTGCAATCACTCGCAGTGACGTGGATCTGCTAGTGGAGAACTTGGCACAAAGTCCAGAGGTGATGGAGTCTGAAGTGGAGTCGTTAAGTTACTTGAGTGAAGCGGCTGTCGCGAGTGTTAACGTGGGTGGAGGACCTCCCGTCACGGCTCCGTTTGGTCTGTATCCGAAGCCGTATCTTAGCGACGATGGTCTGGACGAGTCGAAATCGTCTATTGATACCGACTCAAGCGATGTTCCGAGTCTGGAAGCTGACGCGACGTCACTCAGCGGAGATGAAGTGGATGTATTGGCGTGGTTCCGGTTCTTGGGACGCTTTGTGGGTCAAGCGATCTTGGACGAACGGCTGTTGAATCTGCCGTTCGCTCGTCCGTTCCTGCGAGCGCTACGTGGCGAGAAGATGGTGGGCAGTGGCGTGAGTGTGGAGACGTCGCTCTCGTTCGTGGAAGAGCTGGATCCTGCCGTCGCCAACTCGCTGCGCTACTTGCACGATTTGGCAATGAAGTTCGAAGCGAAGGAACCGGAAGCTGATGCGTCAGAGATGGCTACGGAAGTGGATTCTCTGTGTCTTTCGTTCACAATGGTCGGCTCTGATGATACCCCACTGGAACGCGGCGGTCAGGACACTCCCGTGACGCTCAGTACACTACGTCGATATGTTTCACTGAATCTAGAGTTCCTACTGGACCGTACGATCAAGAGCCAAGTGCAAGCATTCAGACAAGGCTTCGAGCAGATCTGCGGCAATGGAGATCACCAGCTCTTCCGCTTCTTACAGGCATTCGACGTGCGTGAACTGGAGCAGCTACTGAGCGATCGAGGCACCGGCAACACCATGTGGGATCGCGACGGTGTCGACTTGCGTGAACACATGGTGTGCGACCACGGCTACACGGCCGACAGTCGTGCGATCGCCCACCTCGTGTCGATTCTGTGCGAGTTGTCGGTGGACGAGCAGAGGCTCTTTGTGCGCTTTGTGACGGGCGCTAACCGCCTGCCGTTGGGCGGGTTACGTAACCTCGAGCCCAAGCTCACGGTCGTTCGTAAACTTACTGAGTTGTCGGATGCCAACAGTATCGAGGAGAACGACGCCGTGTTGCCGTCTGCATCCACGTGTACCAATTACCTCAAGCTGCCAGACTATTCCACGCGCGAGATCATGAAGCAACGACTGCTGTACTGCATCAACGAAGGCCAGTGCAGCTTCCATCTCTCGTAAGCACACACGACAAAACGAAAAGGATGACGCCAATAGTGATGCGTTCAGCAAGTGAAAATGATCGTGTGCCAGCTGTGTGGGTATGTATTTGCAGCGATTCCTCTGCAGAATTAAGTGCCCGTTTCTATTTCTATTTACGTGTTGCCGACAACTTTGTTTTTTTTTTTAATGCAAACGATGGAAGTGGCAAAGTGGTTGATAAAATGTTTAAATAAGTTGCATGTCCGTTACAGAGGAAGTTGGTTTAAGCTAGTCTTTTCAGGAGTGTATTTCGCATGTAGGGACCCTATCACTTCGGATCGCCCTGGCCAAGAATGCACTTAAGCCCGTCAGACCTAATGTAAGTTTCGTGTCTGTGCCTACGCTCGACTCGATAAATAAACAACCAACTGGGCCTCGCACTCGGAAGCCTCGCCAGCTCTCGAGAGACGTTTGTAGCTCAGTCACTTGGGGGGTTGGAAAGCTCTCGTTCGCTTTCTCTCTCTTCTCTTGGATTGACCAGACGACACCTTTGGGTCCAGTCTCAAGACAAGAGAGGTGTCGTATTCTCTGCGTCTTTCTGCTGTCTAGCAACACTGCTGACTGCGACGCAGCTCGTCACGCGAGTACCACACGCGGCGCTTGTAGTCGGCGTCGAAGCTCGAGCGCGCGGGGATCTCCACCACGTTAACGTCGTCGTCGAAGCTGATGCGGCGGTCGTGACTGCACGCTCGGATGCGCAGAATGCCATCGTCCTCCTCGCCATCCGAGTCGTCGTCCGTCTCGGCCAGTGAGTCACACGTCGACGTACGAGCGCGTGCCTTCTTGCCAGGCTTAACGACTTCCACGCTGACCTTACGCGGTGCGCCCTGCATGGCGATGGCCATCCAGTCATCGTTGTCATCGTCGTCCTCCTGCTCGGGGGCGCCACTGCCGTCCATGCGGAAGTATTCGCGGACGTTCACGACGCTCTTGGTGCGCTGCCTCATGGTTCTGTTTTTTATTTTTTGTTGTTGTTTTTCTGGGAGTTTTTAACTGCTGCGAAAGGTGAAGCGAAGCGGAAGAGTGTTCGGCTTCCCTGTATGCTTCAATACCGACTGGCTGCTGCTGAACGGTGCTATGAGGCCTTTATCAAAGAGGAAGGAAGAGCACTGTGTTGCCACGAGTCTTTTCGGTAAATGAATTCACAAAGGCGGGGAGAGTTGCGGGCGACCAGCATGAGCCAATGACAGGGCACGCGACGATCGGACGACCAGACGAGGCAAGTTCCGACCCCTATCCCGCTCAACGTTCTACTTTTGCGCCCTTGTACTTGGTTTTTGTATGGGCTGATGCCGTCGTGTTGTGTCACAGCCGGCCACCAAAAAGCGCTCGAGCCCCACGATGAGGCGTGTGCAGCGCCAGCTTTCTGCCCGCCGGCTGGGTGCGTCGAGCGTAGGAAATCCACCAAAGGATGATCGTTGTCGCAGTGCGAGGCACGAGATGATCGCCGTGGAAAAAAAAAAAAATATCGACGACGAGCGCTGTGTTTGGCGCGTCGGTGGGTGCCACAACCACCAGCGCATTGTCGTGGCGCAGAGGCCAGAAGTGGCTGGAGAACAGGCGATTGCCATCCGTTTCCGGGTTGACACGAAAGGATTCTTTTGCTGCGGATATTTGCTACAGTTATTAGAGCATCGAATGGAGGCTGCAGGCGGCGCTGTAGCGGTAGGCCACCTACGCTTTCCACGTCATGTCTCTGTAAGGCACAAGTTCCCTCCTTCCTCGTCTGCGAGGGACCGTTCATCGACGTCGAAGAGGGCTCTTTCGTCCTCTTCAATAGCGTGGGACGTGCGTCAGCGAAGATCCCAGGCATTCGATAGCTCGCTTGCTGTGTGTAGATTCTGAGCCTCCATGCAGAGATAACAAAGGAAACCCCTTTTGCTGCCATCGCACGCCAGCGCTGATCACTACTATACAATTGCACTCAAGTGCACATGTAGAAGCCGTCGACGAAAGATATCGTTGAGGGGAAGTCTCCTCAGTTTTCGCGATGGTCCGACTGGCTGGACTGACTCCATGCCGCGTCGCGCGCAGAGACCATGCAACCGGATAGAGGGTTAGGCAACGAGTCAGACAGAAAGGCTTCAACCTACAGTACGATTTGCAAAATAGGCTTGACAAAAATGCATGGAAAACTACATACCAAAAAAAAAAAAAAAAAATTTCAAAATCAGCGCCACGAGCTCCGCTTTTGTCGTCGGCGACGATGGACGGCGGCTCTGATTCGAACACTCTCCCTTTGTGTGAACGACAGCGACAGTATCTGTACGCTTTTGTCGCCGCGATGCGCTCAAAAATCAGCCACGAAAAAACCACAAACCAGTTTTTGTTTTTTTGGCTAGCGCTATGCTAGCGACTCGATTCAGTCTCGTTACCGCGTGCCGGTCTGGCAGGTATCGTTGTGTCGGCTCGCCGCAACCTCCGATTGCCTTCCCCAACGACCGCATGGTCGAGACGTCGCGGGAGTGCCCGTTTGTTAAGCTAGCTTGCTTACATGTATTAAGTCGGCGTTTCAGTGCCACCGTGAGCTCCTCTCGCGGCAAACAGGACTGCAAGTGCAAGTGCATGTAAGTACCAAGCCGGAGTCATGCTCAGCTCATACAGATCCATGTACGGAGGATAAAGCAGGAGGATCCTCATGAACAGCGCAGTGTGGGTCGCGCTGGACCAACGAGATCCGGTGTAGAAATCGCTCTCGTCTCTTGACGTGTCAATTCCCCTAAGCTTGCACACTTTGTCGCATTGAGACTCTGGTCTCTGGTTCTTCGCACTGGCATCGTTTCAGAAGTCCGCTTTCTCAGCGCCCAAATGCTCGTGAGTAATATACTGTCACCGCTGCCACCACCCACAGCATCGCAAAACTCTGGAACGCTGGACAAGTTGTCGATTTCTTTCGCATCGGAGCAGATGGCTCTCGTTGCAACACGTCTGACGTCGGCATTGCTGGACAATTAATTACTCATCGCAACAGCACGTAGGCGCTTGACACCTCGAAGCTTACAGCCCCATTGTAATGGCGCCAAGCCGACCATCACCACGAAAGCGACCAACAGCAGGACAAGTCGATCATGGTGAGCGGCGGCTCGGATGACATCCGGTGAACATGCCGACGCCCTGTACGCCCTCTCGATGCCACCACCATGTAGAAGTGGTCGCTCCAATCGCGGCGCGGCATCCCGCGACCGCCAAATGAGAGCACGCCAGGTCACAACCCTCCGAGATCCACACCAATGTGATGGCGATCCGGCTAGAGGAAGCGACGTTTGTTTGGTGTCTTCGGCCGTGGTTGGAACGACAACCAACACGTGTAGACGTTGATGAACGATACATTATCCTGACACTGCACGAATGACTTGCTGCATTCGTTGGACTAACGTTAGATAGACAAAAGTTCGAATGCTTTTGCAACAAGCACACGCCGCAACGTTCGATCAGAGCTCTCGTCGGAGTGATTGCTTGTCAAGTTGAAGAGAAGTTGCCTTTTTTGGGCTAGTGGCACACAAGCAGTTCGGTGATCAAAGAGGTGCATGTTGTACATTGTCGAGGCTGCAGCTAATAAATACGCCTAGCGCTCACAGTGCCACAGCGCGCTCTACCATCTCTACCAGCTCTGGGCGGAGCTGCAACAACTCGCGCGCTACATCAAGAGAGACCTGGTGGTAGTAGAAGTACCGTGTTAAAACTCATGGCAAAATGCATGGCAAACCTATCTCATTACGCACCCATTTGCGCTTGCGAGTGTTCTCAGCCCAGTCCTCGAAGACCTGTGTGACCTCGAGCCTGAAGCCGTAGAAACGACAGGACTTGCCCTGTTGACTGGCGAAGTCCAGTGTGCCTAGTGATCCAATAATCTTCCCCGTCACCTGCAGCAAAAGCACCGACAGTAAATAACTCGCTTGGCAACTGATACAATGAAAAGCTTGTAGACGCACCCCCGCTTCCTCGTCGGCCTCACGCAGTGCACACTCCACGGCAGACTCGTCGTTCTCCCAGCCGCCCTTGGGTAGAATCCACTGCGTCGGGTGCTTGGAGCTCGAGATGAGCAAGAACTCGTTGCTGGTGTCCACGCGACGCGAGACTACGATGCATGCTAGCAGCCGCGTGTTACCGTCGTAGCGCTGCTTGTCACGCCCCACACGAGACTGAAGCAGGCGGCTCGACAGGCGCGTGAGCCCGCCATCTGGCACGTCCTTGTGCATGCCCGTGGGGCTGTGCTTGTTGGGCGGCGACAGCTTGGGCTGCACCACAGCAGCGTCCGAATGGCGGTCGCTGTTCTCAGTCATTGCGGTGGGGGTGAGGACAAGCGCGTCAGGAATAGACTGAGCAGGAATAGCGGCGAGCGTCTAGCGGAATGACGGTCGATTCCTGAGTGTTGCTAGTCTCAGGATTACCTCATCTATCTATAACCTTCGTTAACACATGTTACTATTTCTGTAAATCAAGTGTAAAATAACTAGCATAAATGATAAATGCGTCTGTCTTAATCGAAATCATTCCTGCTATTGTCACGGGTAGCGCAATTGTGATTTGTGACGGATCGCCTTGAATTGACAGGTAGTTCAACTTCACCTGTTCGCACTTTTCGCCACCGTCCGACTGCACAACTCTGCGTAGTAGGAGCCGAAGGAGCCAAGTAATCTCACGACACTAGTCGACTTTACACCAAGCAATCACTTAGCAACCATTCGCGGCGGCGAGTGGAAGTCGTCACGTCCAAATTCTCCAAAGACTCCACCCTACAGCGGACTCATTGTGGTCATGTTGGGCAACTCTCGTGATCGTATGGCCTGCCGTTTCATCGGAGACTACGGTCTCCTGGTTTCGCACAAGGTAGCTGGACGGACTTTAACGACAAATATACGGTGGATAGCTGGTTCGAGACGATGGCGCTCGCGTTTCCAGTTAAGACTGGCATCAACCTTTCGACAAGGCCAAGATTTATGGCGCCGGTCAGGTCGAGAGGAATATATGGGGGAAAGTCATCCGGAAGGGCATCCCCAATGGCACCTGGAGACGTAAAGCTCTCGTCATCATTACGAAACTCTACCTTGGCTTCGAGAGTGCTGGTTCCAATTTAGGGCATCAAGCAGCCACTCAAGAGGCTGCAACTGGACTATGCGGACCTCGTGTACCACCACCGATGGGAGGTTTTCAAGTACACCGAGACTGTGCGAGCCATGCACTTCGTTATCAATAAGGGGTGGGCGCTCTACTGGTGCAAGCTCTTAAAGCTCAGCGGATTTCGAGGAAGCGTGTGGCATCGCCTCTCGTCCGTCCCAGTGTTGACCAGGCCGAATACAATCCGATCAAGCGCTCCAATGTGGAGTTCGAGTACGTTGACCTGTATAGGTCACGCAAGGTGCAATGTGTGGATTAGGAGGCTTCGTATACAGTAAATTCCTCACTTACAAGCAATACTTTCCAATTGCTTTAAATCTCTGAAAACCTATCGTTCTTCAGCTTGTAGTATGGCTAATGTAGCATTTCCAAGCTCGAGAGGCTATGAATTACCGCCACTGATGACGATCTGTGTATGCCACTACAGAAACTGCGCTCGCATCATCTCAGCTCCATCGGGCTTCGATAGCTCCGGCACAAACGGAATTAGCGAGTCGATCTCTGCCTTCACTTCCGGAGTAATCTTCTCCAACGCCTCAAGTGCCTTGAGGTTCTGCCCCAGTTGCTCCAACGTCTTGGCACCAATCATGACCGTCGACACATTCTCGTTACTGACACACCAGGCGACAGCCAACTCTGCCATAGAGATACCGAGCTTTTCAGCCAGAGGCTTCAGCTTGTCTGCCTTGGCCACACGCTCCGCGAAATCTGGCGAAAAAGACTTGAAAAGCGGATTGGCCATACGGGAACCCTCAGGCGTCCCAGCACTGTACTTGCCGGTCAGTGCCCCATACGCAAGAGGCGACCAAGTCGTAAGACCGAGCTTGTACTTCTTGTACAAATCGACATACTCGAACTCGACCTTGTTGCGATCCAAGATACTATAGATCGTCTGCTCCACGATGGGCCGGATCAGTCCGAGACGGTCGGCGATCTCGCACGCTTCGATGATCTCAGCAGCGCTCCACTGACTGGTGCCCCAGTAGAAGGCCCAGCCTTGGTTGATCACGTAGTTCATAGCTCGGACAGTCTCCTCGATGGGCGTGTACGGCTCGGGGCGGTGGCAGAAGATGACGTCGACGTATTCCTGCTCCAACCTCTTCAGCGACGCCTTCGTGCCTTCCACAATATGCTTACGACTCAAACCCATCTCGTTTGGACGTCGTTCCGCCATGAAATCCTTAGGTCCGAAGAAGATCTTGGTGGTGATGACGAGGTCCTCACGGCTCCAGGTCCCTTCCGCGATGCCTTTCTTGATAGCTGCGCCCATGTTCTTCTCCGCGAGACCTCCGCCGTATACTTCTGCGTTGTCGAAGAAGTTGACACCGTGTTCGAAGGCTAGCTTCATCATGTCGTACCAGGCGTCGGCGGTGTACTTGTCATTGACGTCCATCCAGCTACCAAGCGAGAGCTTGGAAACGAGAAGACCGGAATTTCCGAGGAAACGATAGGTCATACGGGCGGACTTGGGGTTGGAAGGCATGATGTTTGAGGTGTTGGTTGTTGTTGGAGGTAAATTCCAAAATGACCGCGGTTCTTTCGACAATGGAGTACATTGAACTTCTTGCGTTCTGTTTTCATATACTCAAAACAGCTGCGAGATTACGGTGTAGATTCCAAGTTCGAGCTAAAATCACCTTCTAGACGTGAGGCAATTGAATGGGCCACGGAAATCACTGGGTTGAACTAATTAAGTGTGACTTCACCTACAAGGTCAAAAAGGACTCAAACACTCAGCCTGAGATTATTGTAGCAGGAGAGCTTGAGCGTCTCGAAGCTGTCGAGGAGACTGTCAGTGAATCCGACAACATCGTCACTCAGCTCATAGACGCCTACCGCCAAGTGGCATAGTAATCATACCAACAAGTGGTTTGTCGCATTTGGGTTAAGCAATCTCACTGGGATTACTTGATAATTGTATTGCGTTCAGAATCTTACTACAAATGATACAATACACTTTTTTTTTTATTATTCATACCTAGCGGTTAAGCAATCAAAACGTATTCTTTTTCATCTGCGGTTAAGCAATCACATACCATGATATTCAAGCATGTTATCTAACCACACTGTATTACTCATGGACACGTTTTGTCGGCCAAGTTGATTCGGAAGTTGCATAGGACTAAGCTACGGAAATCTGGTCGTGATGTTCTATCTCACTTTTGAATTCACCACAACACCAGCAAATCTTCACACCATCCACTAAACACCATAACTATGTCGACCACCGGTAACAAGACGCAACGTATGCCTTATCGGTTTCTCGGCAACTCTGGTCTCCTCGTCTCCAAGCTTTCGCTCGGCAGCTGGATGGACTACGACGAAAAGTTCACCCCCGACGCTTGGTACGACTTGATGAAGATGGCCTACCAGCACGGTGTCAATCTCTTCGACAACGCCGAAATTTACGGTCGTGGTCAAGCGGAGAGGAACATGGGAGCTGCTATCAAAAAGGGCATCGCTGAGGGCACTTGGAGCCGTGAGGATCTCGTGATCACGACCAAGATATTCTACGGTTCAAAGGGTTTCCCCGAAGGTCCATTCGGTAAGGGTCCGGAGAAGGGATTGCCGCCTAATGAGCAAGGCCTGACTCGCAAACACATCGTGGAAGGCATCAAAGCCTCACTGAAGAGACTGCAACTGGACTACGTTGATGTTATCTTCTGCCACCGCGCTGATGTCTTCACTCCCATCGAGGAAACAGTGCGTACGATGAACTTCGTGATCGACCAGGGCTGGGCTTTCTACTGGGGAACCAGTTCGTGGAGTGCGGCTCAGATCACTGAGGCCTGTGAGATCGCCGATCGTCTGGGACTAGCGCGCCCGATCGTGGAGCAGCCAGAGTACAATCTGATGGAGCGCAACAAGGTCGAGTTCGAGTACATTGATCTGTTCAAGAAGTACAAGCTTGGACTCACGACGTGGTCGCCACTTGCCTTCGGTACGCTCACTGGCAAGTACAGTACTGGAGGTGGTGATGGCTCGCGTCTTCGAACGCCAGAGTGGTCTGCTGTCGTCCCTGATTTCGCCGAGCGCGTGGCGAAGGCTGAGAAGCTGAAACCTATTGCAGAAGAACTGGGAGTCCCGATGGCCCACCTCGCCATTGCTTGGTGTGCCAGCAACGACAACGTCAGCACTGTTCTCCTTGGCGCAAAGACCCCATCACAGCTCGAACAGAACCTAAAAGCTCTCGAAGTGCTACCGCTTCTTACTGCTGACGTGAAGGCCAAGATTGATGCAGCACTCCCATTTGTGCCTCACGCACCGGATGAGGACTGGGCGTCTATGATCCGTCAGCGTCACTTGTAGGTCTGCAGTATTTGATTTATCTTTCCAACATTTTGTTGGCAATAATTGATCACGAGTGGTGAGTAGAGACTCTGGTGAGCTTCATTATTACTTAGTAGGTTCCGTCACGGCAAGTACGTAGTGGGTCTTTAAGTATCGATAGTGCCGTCATCAGATGCTCAAAAATGATAAACCACAGAAAGCAATTTTCAACACGTCCTTCTATTTCTTCACTAAGTACGTGGATGCTCAAGCTAAAGATGACCCCATGGACTTGCATTAAGTAGTCTTCCTCAGACGATACATGTTAACCAGCGAGGCTTCCAAGTTGTTACCCATTCTCTGTAGTTTCTTGTCTGGACTGGCCTGAGCCGCCTTGAACACCCTGAGCAACTCTCGGTCCTCGAAGTGAGCTCTAAAAGTGGAGATCATAGGTGTTTTTGTACCAGTGTTTGCGTTCGCCACGCTAACATATTCCAACCACGTCTTGAGATTTGGGGCTGTCAGGAGGTCGTCCACCTTTTCCGTGTTTAGCTTTAATGCCTTAAAGGCATCGTCAATTGGCGTGTCTTTCACCTTCCACTCGTCTATCTGCATCTTCACCAGTTTGGATGCGATATCATCCGCAGTGTCTGGCTTTGCCGCCACTCCAGCCATCTTCATCAGGTCTCCCTTGTCGTACTTCCCCGACAAAAAGGTGAAGATTGCACGGTCCGGGTCGTCTTTCACAACCATGCGCGTGTAAGCGACCCACACGTTAAAGTCCGAGTTATCAAAGAGTTTGTTCCCGGCCTTGTCGAGTTTGATCTTCCCGAAGACGTACTCCGGGGTTTTTCCTTTCTTGGCCCATCTAAAGTACGTATCTGGTGTGATTTTCGACTTGAACAGGTTTGGAATCTTCTTAAGTTTGTCGATGCCTGGGATTTTCTTGATCGACTGGAGACCAGGGATCGACTTTATGCTGATCGCCCTCTGTTCGTCATCTGCGGTGACAGTGGAGGTCTTGGTCGAGACATCGTTGCTCTCCGCGGTTAGCGACCGACTCAAAGTCTGGAATGCGGATTCAGGAAGAACACCTTTTACTGCCGCGGAGGCAGGATCGAGAGTAGCGAAGATGGACGCCGCTGCAGCAGAACGAAGTAGTGGAAGCGCATTGTCTCTACTGGGGGCTTGAGAACAATATTGAGAATGGGGTGTTTTGAGAAGAATCACGAAGTGATTCCGATACATGTAATATACTAGTACCTGCCATTGGCCACCATGAAAGCACCTGTTCGCAAACCTTGTCACGAGATGTACTTTTGGGATTTGGTGAGCAGAAGAGCGACAGTGACTGTCGTTCTGTCGAAAGTCTCCCAAAGCCGAACCGACTTTATAATATTAAATATGAAGTCAAATGTGTAACGGTAACCTGTCGAGTCCTTTGTCAAGCACAATGTGCACGTTCCTAGGTACTTAAAGCGTTATATTACCAACTATGGCGCAATTATCGTAAATTTCGAGCCGCCAGATATGGTGTAAGTTCTTGTTTCATTTGGGCATTCTGCTGCAGCGCAAATGCTGTATTAATGGGTGCGTTGGACGCATGAGAACAAGTACAGGCCCCTTGGTACACTAGAAGCTCATATATCATCATTGCTTTTATCGCTTTCTATGTATTAAATATTGTAATTTCCGGTCAAATTTGCCAATGCTGGCCCGTTCTGTAACCTGTGTTGAATCCCCCGATACAAAATTCAAGCTATTCGGAAACCGACAGACACAGCGACAGATGGCACCAAGTTTAAGACCGATGTCGTACTTTATGTGATGTTTAGTGAACTCAAGTGATTAAGCCGATTGGATCGGTTTTTGGGTCTACATGGCTCGGTCGGTTCAATCAACCCACCTTTGGAAACTTCGACTAGAACCCACAATTTATGTGCCCTTTACAATCTCAGAAGCTCACATCGTTTTTGCTCCAGCCAATCCCAAATATCTATCTTCCCACGTGATGGTGTGCTTCTATGAAGTCACCTCAAGTGATCCTCTACTATTAACACATGTACGGTATTTTTATGGATGTACAAAGAGTGGATCACGGTCTCAGCCTGCAGACATCCATTGATCTAAATGGACACCTGTGCAATTCAGGCCCTGCTCCTTCAATGGGTGCCTCGGTCGGGGAATATACTATCTCTTCGTGCCCGAGTGATGCAAATTTGCATCATCGGTCATTTTCTTGAAAACCACTTGGATTTGTGGCAATTTGAAATTACCAATCAAAAGCCC